GTTCTAATTCAGAGCATTCGTAGTTTCTTGACAGGAAGGCACCAAAGAGTGTGTGTCAACGGTTTTTCATCTGAATGGAAACCGGTACCAGCTGGAATTCCACAGGGTAGTGTTTTAGGACCTACTCTTTTTCTATTAATAGTAAACGCTCTGGCTTACAGAGAATCGTGGAGATGGAAGTATATGGACGACCTGACTATTAGTGAGACCCTTCATATTGTGAATAACTTGTGCTCTAGTAATCTCCAACAAAGCTCGAATGATATTTGTGAATTTGTACACGAAAAGAAAATGATGCTTAACCCAGTAAAATGCAAAGAAATGTTTGTCTGTTTCAAAAGAGTACCTCCAGTGATTGATAATATTACCATCAACAACGTCCCAATTGAAAGGGTATCTACCTATAAATTACTTGGGGTTAATCTGTCATCAAATCTTAAGTGGAATGAGCATGTCAATATGATAACAAAGAAAGCTGCGAAGCGTATTTACTCTGTGAGACTTCTGAAAAGGGCGGGCGTTGCAGATACGGATTTGGTCACTTTCTACTCAACGTGCGTAAGAACAGTATTGGAGTATGCTTGCCCTGCATGGTTTTACAGTACTACTGAATACCTTAGAGAACAAATTGAATCCATCCAACGCAGGATCATGCGAATAATTTTCCCTGATACTAGTTACCAAAAAGCCTTAGATCTTGCTGGCATCCCTCGGCTATGTGTGAGATTGGAAGACCTATGTGACATGTTTTTCTCCAACATCATGAAGGAAAACCATAAACTACATAACCTTTTACCACCTACTTACCAAACTCATTATAATACCAGGTCCCAGGCCTCTGGAATACAATTCCAGTTGCCAACATATAAAACTAATAGATCTCGAAACAATTTTATTGTCAAATCTGCTGTGAAATGGAACAATGCGATTAGGAAGAACATAGGGAATGTATAGCCCTACATATTTTTAAAATGATGACTTTTTAGAATTTAGTGTAAACAATTCAGTATATACTATACAGTATTCTTAGTTTTGTTGTTTGTAGTTGTTTCCCCTTTTACCTTTCTAACGCAACATTCTAATGGGTAAATTTAATTTAGTCTTTGACTACGATTTGCTCAAATTAAAGCTATTATTATTAAAGTTTATTAAATTAAATCTAATGAATTCGACATTTCCAGATGGACTGCCCTCGTTGCTAAGCAGGTGAACAGGCACAAGTACCGTTTCGGTCTGATCTTACCACGTCCTTGTTTTGTTAAAAAACAACCTGCATAATTGATTCCAATTCTGTCGAAGGCTCGCAACGAATACAATCTCGCCTTAGGTAAAGGGGCCATCATTTGACCGGCTGTTTGCATAGAAAACTTTGTCGGCATTCTGGACAAGACTTGATGATGTTCCGCACTACACGCCGTCCTTTCTCAATCCAAAATCGCACTTGCAATTGTGTTAAAGTATGTTCTATACCAGACCCATGGCCCAAGTGTCTCATGTGCATCAAGAACTACAAGGCGTGTCAGGTGGTGATTCTTTGGCAGGAGGATAGGATACTTTGTGTCGTATGGGATGTCTTCAGCGAGACGTAAGCGTCCATTAATACGAAGTAGGTCATTATCATTTTTTGTCGGGTTTAATTGGACTAGGGACTTTTCATTTATGCCTTTAGGAAAAGTTTCTGTTTGCGTATGTTTGATCCAAAACGTCTCAGCATCAGAGATCTCAGCAGAAGAAAGTGTTCTTTCATAGTTCCGTCCAGATTTCCCACGAATTTTACAATTGGCGATGAACCGCTTAATCCAACCCGTCACACGATATAGACGTTTGAGGCTTAAGAAGTGTGTAGGATCAATGCTAGTAAATTCATAGTTCTTAGTTGCATATGTCGTGGTTGATCGCCTTTCACACTGGTCAGATTTCTGCACGTCTTTACTAGGAGGTGTGGTTGGCCAGGCACTTTCACCGTCTTTTACGAATGATGGTCCTTCCATCCAAAATTTGTTCTCACTAAGGTCTGCCACCGATAAACCTCCGGTTGGTAAATCCGCTGGATTCTCCGTCCCCGGTACGTGCCGCCACTGTTCTGGACTTGTTGTACGCTGAATTTCCCCAATTCGATTAGCTACGAACGGTATAAATTCGCGACTCTGGTTACGTACCCAGTAATACACATTCTCTGAGTCTGTCCAATAGATCACTCTGTCCACGGTTAACACGTTTAGGATACTTGCGGCTAGACGACTTGAAAGAACAGCTCCCATTAGCTCTAGACGGGGAATGGTCACCACTTTCAAAGGTCACACACGGCTCTTTGACGCAATGAGACGCGAAGTAGAGGGGTTGTTGGTGTACTGGCAAACCAAATAGGCAACGGAGGCATAAGCATCTTTTGATGCGTCGGAAAAGAGGTGTAGATCACCCGTCTTTGGGTTTGATAGGCGTAAACATCGTGGGATGGCAACGCACGATAAGCTCTGGAGTTCAGATACCCAGTTTTCCCATTTCGTGCTAAGATTACTAGGTAAGACATCGTCCCAATCTAACCCTGCTGTCCATATTTCTTGCATGATAATCTTGGCGCGGATCACGAAAGGTGCCAGAAACTGAAGTGGGTCATATAGGGCGGCTATTGCACTTAGAACGTTTCGTTTGGTAGGAATGACACTCATATCAGGTTGCTTGGTTTGGAATAGAAAAACGTCTCTCGCCGCTTCCGATCCCACGTAACTCCTAAGGTCTTGGTTTTAGCAAGCTCTCCGTTGTTGATCTCGATTGCAGGTAGACGATCGCCCACGGGAATGTTTTCTATTACTGCTGCCTCATTTGATGACCACTTTCGCAGGTTGAATCCAGCTATGGCTAACATGTCGGACAATTGACGTTGCAAATTTTGTGCACTCTCCACGGTTTCGCTAGAACCTAATAAATCATCAACATACATGGAATTGTCAACGGATTTGGCTGCCTCCGGATATTCTGTTTCGTGGGCTTGTGCATGGCATGAAGAACGTACTGTGGGCAGAATGGTGATGCCGTGTTGCCAAACAACATTCGCGAAAACTCATAAACGTACGATGTATCAAAATCTCGCCACAGGAACCTATGATATGGACGGTCTTGTTCCCGGAGACCAACTTGTAAAAACATTTCGGAAATATCGGCAGTAAGGGCTACTGGGGCTCTACGGAAACGTGTAAGAACATCCACAACTTCTCTTTGCAGCTTGGGACCTGGTCGTATTGCATCATTCAAACTTTTGCCTTCGTGTTTCATCGCAGCATCGAACACCACACGGACCTTCGTCGTATCTTTATCAAGTCTAATAACGGGGAAATGCGGAAGGAACCATTGCTCCTTTGTCTCGGATTTTGGTACCTCCTTTATGTAATCTTTCTTCTCATACTCTTCAAAGACATGACTGTAGGCTTTCATAACATCCGGGCCTTTTCTTTTTAGAGATTTTTCCTGACCTTTGAGTCGTACCAAAGCAGCTTCGTAACTGTTTCCCAACTTTGGTTCGCCTTCTCTCCATGGAATTCCCACCGTGTATCGCCCATTCTCAAAGGTAAGGGTCTCAGCGACTTTTGTCATTGCTGCCTTTTCTTCGACTGTCATCTGCTTGCCTGATTCTTCCTTGATCCCTATTGACTCAAGTTCCCAGAACTTTCTCAGAATGTCATCGGGTGGTGGTTGCTTGCTCACCTGGTTGCTGCGGTATGTCCGAGTAAAGTGAGACTGGGATTCCTGCCGGAATTCCTTCACGTAGGACCAAAACATACCCAGCCAAGGTTTTGCAATCGTGCTATTGGATCATTATGTCGACTACCATGAATTTCCTTTAACACCAAATGAAACAGTGGATGGTCACTGCCAATCATGACATCAATGTAACGTCGTCTGGATACATTCTCAAATGGGACTTGGCGTAGATGTGGCCATTTTTCTTTCAATTCTGACCACTGAAATGCTGGCGTGTCACTGGCGATGTTATCTAATACGTGTGCTTGCAAGGGTGCTGTGAATGTCCCAATGAGACTAGTCACTGACAGTTCCACACGTCTTGACCCTATCTGAATCTCTGTTCCTCCTGTTCCTGCAATTGTCAGATTTAACGATTGCCCTTGCAGCTCCAGCTCTCCTGCAGCATGTTCCGAAATATAAGAACTTGTTGAACATGGATCTAACATTACATTGACTTTCAACTTCTTCTGACCATCGCTAATAATGGCTGGAAGAACCATTAATGAAACATTATCAGTCTTACTCGTTTTGTGAGTCCTCTCTTGCGTGGATGATTCGGATCTCTGTTGGTTATTGATGTCCATTCTACCAGACTGTTCGGTTCTTGCTTCTTGGGCTGGTGGCTGTCTTGGATAGAAGGTTGGCGCCTCTGGTTCTAACTGCTGTCTAGCATTTGTGTTTCCATTCTGTGGGGTGCTTTCATGAATATAACTTGCAATGGTTGTTGCTCTGGCATCCGTCAACTCCGCATTTTCTTGCTTTACGACAATCTTTGCTGTGATGCCCAGCTGCCAGGCACCGATAACAACGGCTGCTTTTTGAAATTAATTACTTTCTCTTCTGTACAGGAAGTCTCTTGAAAGCATCACAAACCCATGGTGGATGGTCTTGTTTGCATGTGCTAACAATACAATGTCTGGTTGAAAATCGTGTGTTGAATCCTCGGAAACGCGGTCGTTTATCACGATTCTTGTTACTCCGTTCCTCATTCTTCTTACCAAATCCTTCAGTCTCCTCTCTCGCTTCCCCAATGACTTGCACTCGAGTTCCACCCAGTTTACCAGCGATTCGAAGCAATCTTCTCGAGCATAGTCTATCAACCAGTATTTATACGCTTGAACATCCCGTTCGGTTAGCTTTTCTTTTGCTGAAAAGTTCAGGTTTTGATCTTGTAAGAATCCACAATTGTTGATAGTGATCAAAATTTTCTCTAGTAGGGCTTGAAATTCTTCCAAGTCTTGTAAATTGTGGGACCGAACCTTAGGCCAATTACGCCAAGTTGTAAGCTGCTTTATTTGTTGGCGCCTCTCTCCCCCATACCTCTTCTCTAACTTCGACTTTGCTCGTTCATATGCAGCGCTTGAATATCCCAAATATTTTACCAAGGTCAGTGCTTTACCAGCTAAACTGCTTTGTAACCTGAGCATTTTTTCACCAACTGGAATGTTCTGCACATCAACCATTGCCATAAATGCTGCCTTCCAGGGCTCATAATTGGTTTTATCCTCTCCAAAAAACTTTGGAAGGTCAACTCCTTTCAACTTGATGGGTGATCGGGTTATTGTTTCAACTGGTACTCCCTCAGGCAATCCTGTTGTAAAATTATGTTTCGTAAGAAAATCCTTTACAGTATTACAATCTTCGACTAGTTGTCGTTCCGCATTTTCTGCTCGTGACTTATTGAGCTCAGCTACTTTTAATTTCTTGCTTCCTCTGTTCGCTGCTTGGTGAGTTCAAGTTCAGCTGCTAATTTTCTCATCTGTTTTCTTTCTCTTGTTGTTCCTTTTCCATTCTCTGCAATTTGTCATTCGCATTCTTAGCTTCTAATTGTTTTTGCTCTACGTGTGAAGGTGTTGTTGAAGGTATATTGGGGGGAGGGGGTACTTTGGAGGGCAGATTGGGGGGTACATTGGGGGGTACTTTGATGGGTACATTGGAGTGTACATTGGGCGGCACATTGGAGGGTACATTGGAGGGTACATTGGGGGCACATTGGAGGGTACATTAAGGGGTACATTGAAGGATACATTGGAGGGTACATTGGGGGGGGGGGTACGTTGGAGGGTACTGAATCTTTATCCACACAAACATGTGATTTAAGTGAAAGTAATACTAACTCCCTGCATTAATTCTCTCTTCTATATGTTTTTCTGCTCCTTCAATAATTACATCAACTGAATATCCAATGTCCTCTAACTTTTTGTCTAATGTATATATTACTGTATTAGTCTCTTCATTGTCCTCAGTCATGACAAACACTCCTTTCAAACTATCGATAATCTTTGTAATAATATTCATCTCAGAATTAATTTTATGTACGGCTCCCTCTTACAACATTCTTGCTAGGTAGTGTCACATCTTGTGGTCGATTTTCAATAAGGTTACTCAACTGTTTTTTGGCTTTAGTCATTCTACTTTTGGCTAATTTCGTATTATTTCGTAGACTTTGAATCTTTGTACTTACGGTACTTCCACTTTTGACGCTTTCTTGGTCAATACGGTCAGCTTACATAGTTGTCGTTGTCTCAGATATGTCTTTTTCCTGTCCTTCGGCCATGTTTGTCTGAATTGACGCCATTTTGAAATCGTCAAACAATCGTACTAAAATTGCAAAATTTCTCACTCGTTTGTCAATAGATCCGGCTCCGAAAAGGACCAAATGTTCTCGTCTGTTAGAACGGTCGTTAAAGGTCTTTAAACGAAGCAGATTCTCTATATAACTGTCAAATAACTCTTTATTTTATCCCGATTTAAAAATACAAAATACGCTGTCTTAAAATCAACACTAAAAGACGCCCGCATTACGCAAACGCAGCGGTTATATATGTCTCAATACGTTATATTACAGGGAACGATTCGTTCCTTAACAGGTATCCTTTTGTAGAGTTTTGGCCAGGGGTGGGTATTTATTTATTACAAGGTTGGGCCATCAAGGTTGGGCAATCAAATTTTTGCCATGAAAAACATTTCTCCTCGGTCCCACCCTCGCCATAAATAATGACCGGTCCCTAAAAGCGTTTGAAAAGTAGAAGAAAGTTGCGAATTGAAAAGGATTCAACTAGCCGCAAAATACAACAAAAACGTTTACGTTTCGAGCGAAGGTCCCTTGCCTGACAAGTTACTAACTTACTGGCGTGATCAGATATTTGTATGTAACAGATATTTGTACGACAATATTAAACTGATGTAACAACGTATTTGTTTCTTAGTATTGCAAATTTAACCTCTCTTTCCAAGTTAAACTTGTCCTTAAAATGGTGCGGATATATAACCTGCGTTCCATGCAGCACGCTCGTGCGCAAAATTCCTTCAAAATAAATTTCTTTCAAAATCATATCTTGACAATGGAAGCACTGCATGTCGTGGCTGATTGGGGCCCCTTGCTGTTGGGGGCCCTTAGTTTATGAACTAACCCTACCTAAGGAGCGTTACACCACTGGTTTTGTGCAGTACAAGCAAACCCTAGCCAACCCAGGGTGCATTTATGTAAGGCACCTAAAATTTGTTCCCAGCACCTTGGGGGAGGGGGGGCAGAGAAACCCACGGGCATTTGACATTCACAATTTGTTCGCATCAAATTCCCCACCCTCGGACGGGAAATACAAGTCAAATACTCCCGGGTAGTGATGGGCGATACCAGCTTTTTTGGTTTCGATACGATACCAGTCCGATACCATGAATTTTGGTCGATGCCGATAGCAAAATCGATACCGATACTCAATTTTTCCATTTATTAAAATAACTTTTAAAGCACGAACATTAATGTTAATTAACAAGTCAAAGAATACTCTAACTGGAATACCTGCTGTATTGATATTTTGTTGACGTTAGATAAAATAAGTAATATTAATCTCTAAGTTAATTAGTTAATAATAGACAGTGGATATGATTGACAGTTGCATGTTTCACGAGTCGAAAACAACATGAGGACAAGGCGTGTGCTTAGGAAAACTTACGAAGCAAATGTAGATTAAAATGTGTTAACCCGCCAAGAAGTAAGTTCATATTTGTGTATTAGAGTATGTATAGTGTAGAATTAGAAGTAATTTGTAGTTGTAATTCAATTTATAGATCGAATAAAAACAGTGTAAACAATATACGATTTGACGGGCAATGTATTCATTTCATCGGACCACCTGCCAAATAATCCAATATAACATTTACAATTATGATTTTAAATCTAAACAATATCAACGTGTTCAATGTTTTCCTTAAATATATTGCTAATTAGCTACATATTTTTGAGAACAGCATCATATGCATGTCAACATTTTTTGCCTTCAGTCTTTTGCCTTCACGAAGTATTAAGCGATTTGTCAGGAATACTGACCGAAAACATCGCAGGCTCAAGTGGTAGCGAATTACCGATACATTTTGCGAGTATCGAAAGTATCGATACTGATTTCGATACTTTTTCGATAGTATCGCCCATCACTACTCCCGCGCAGGGATATACCAAACCTTATTATATATTAAAAAGAAGACAGGCATGCACTCACTCCATTAATTAGCACTCCAATTCGTTGAGTTGTAAAAAATTCCATCAAAATGTCTTCCATTGCATACTAGTATATTAAAAACTTGACTTCTAGCATATAAAACGAACGACAGAAAGCTTGGGTGCGAGACTTGCATGAAACTGGAAATTAAAGCATGGTGAATTCATCCCCACCCTCAAGTTCCAGTTTTATGTCAGCATCCCTTCCACGGTGTCAAAATTTGTTGTCAAATCCACCTGGGTTGTCAGGGTCCCAGGGGTGGGGGGGGGGGCAAACGATAGGTGCATGAATGCCAATGTTGTATGGTATGCCAGCACTTGAACAAACTCGCACCATGTCACAAGAACAGGAAAGCTGCCACGCCTAAATTGAAAATGAAATTACGGTTGCCATTGAGTAATTTTAAAAAGAACAAAACAATAGACACTCCGAAAATAGTTAACATTTTATTCAACGTTTCGACTAGGTTTCGGTCATCATCAGGAATCGTCAAATACTGAGATATATATTTACAAGTTAAGCGGATCAAATTACGCGCTAATTAAATATCACAAGTTCCTTAGAGGCTCTAGTTCCGTGATTAAGTTCTGGTTTTTGGCGATGTATAAGTATGGACTCCTTATATAACAATAATGACCAATGTCTAGATTTACGGCTAAAATAACACAATTTTGGTATATGATGGCTTCTGTGGTATGTGGATCAAATTGAGCAAGTAGTGTGTTGGGTAGGTTTAGTAGAGTCTGGTAATATTGGAAGTGTTCACATGACATAATATGTTTGTGAACTTCTGAGTTTTTGTCGGAGGAGTGTTCTTTAATCCTTGTTCTGAGGCAGCGGTCAGTTTTTCCGATGTACGACAATTGACAGCCAGGACAGCTAAATTTGTATACAACACTACTTTGGAGCTCTTTATCCGTTCGGTCTTTTAGGCTAAGATAGGTGTTGCTGTTCGTCGTGTCATAGATCGTGATAAATTTGGGACGGGCTATCAATAGTCGGAAAATTTTGTTGGTGCACGAGCGTATAAGGGAAGTTCCTCTCTTGCCAATGAACGGAAGGTGAATCCAGATTGTGGGCGGTTTTGGATGCGTATTCTCGTTGTTGTCAGGAGCAATGTCGTGGTTCAGAGGTGGTGGTGAAAATGCGTTGATCAGTTTGTTGGTCATGTGATGAGGGTAGTCATTCCAAGATGCAAACTCAGCAATCCTTTGTAGTTCGTTCTTTAGGAGGTCGATGTTGCTACAGATCTTGTGTGCGCGGTGGACTAAAGATCTCAGATCTTGTGTGCGCGGTGGACTAAAGATCTATTTTCGGAATGTCTATTGTTTTGTTCTTTTTAAATTGAAAATGCTATGCCAATGTTCTATCACCTCTTCCTGTAGCACGGAAATCTGAGATCTGTGATTAAAAGATGCCAAGAACAACGTTTAGACCAGTAGCATACAGACAATTCCTAAAACTATCCTTGTCGAAGATTGTTAGCGTATATATGGCGCAAATAAATGTCTAATAAACAATTGAAGAGATAGAATAGTTTGAGAAATGTTTTCCAAGTCACACTCTGTTGCCTTTAATAACTCCACTAGCAAGGAAGCTTACTGAATGTAGACAGAAAAATGTATTGCAAATGAGAATCACTACTCTACATGGGCGAAACTACTGCCGGTGTATCTGGCGTGGTGACGTTCCCCCAGAAGAGGCGTAGCCAGGGCTGGGGCGGGGGGGGGGGAGGCCGCCCCCTGGCAAAATTTTGGGGCCCCCCTGATAAAGTGTATTGTATAAAAAAGGGATCTTTGATTACATAGCTCCATGCTATCAATAATGCAAAAATTCTGTAGAATATATGCTTTGCTGCGCATCGATGTGAAAGCTAATATCTTGTTCGCTTATTTGCGGCGCACAGCTTGAAACACATACCCCTTTCTAACCCTAATTATTTCGATATGTATTTTCCCCTTGTGCGTTCGTCCGTCGGGAACTACTTCGGCCACGCCCTTTTGGTCGGGCAAAATGAGCCCCCCCCCCCACTCCCCCATAGCCGTAATACCGAGGTATCGGCAATGCTACTACTCTATGAGTTAAAATAACATGTTAATTTGTGTAGGTTTTACTGGATGAAATACGTGATGGACCCTGCCCAAGCTTACCAAAGCCAGAGTTCCTCGCAAGACCTGCAAACAGGTTGCGACAGAGTGCATGACCAATTAGGAACCTGTAAATCTTGAATTTGATTTAGATCATGACCACACTCCTCCTAATTTCCTTAGGGCTGATATCAGGGTTTGCGCGCGCCCTCATCTCGTGTTTTTCCACCGACCAGCAACTTGATTACCTCAGCAGAGCTAAAGGGTGGTATATCGATGGCACATTCAAATTGTGTTGACATACATTGCTATCAATCAATGCTTTTGTGAAAAAAGATGATTGTGTCAAACAGGTACCTCTGTTGTTTGTTTTGATTTCCGCAAAGAGAACATTAGAAATATCTAAGTCTTGCGGAATTTAATAAGTATTCTTCCAGCTCGTCCATCTGTACGCTATGTCACAGGTGATTTTGAAAAGGCACTGTGGTCAGCCCTGTAGTCTGATAACAGACCTACGTTTCGCTCGCCCTAAAATTCGCGGGTCGACGAAGGGCGAAACGTAGGTCTGATGAAAATGTTGTCAAAAGTGCATGTAAGTCGACCGCCTGGCGGTCAACAAAGCTGATTGGCTAATTCACAGGAAAATGGGTTGTGATTGGTTGGTCGCTAACGTGAAAAGATTTGAAAAGATCAGAATATTTTCAACGGTAAATCAACGCATATAAATATGCATACAGTGTAATATTATAAATATTTTGTGATGCCGAACGACAACTAGTCTATGATCAGTATCTACCGTCTAAAATTA